CGGACGCTTAACCGACTGCGCCACCCAGGCGCCCCTCTCTTCGCAATTTTAAAAGAACTTCGGTATCTGGGTTAAATAAAGGTGAATGAAAGAATCTGCTTTTGTATTCTGGCAGACGGCTAGCCACATTCACAGTCATGGCCACCAGGAAAATCAAAACCATTTCACCAGAACAAACACCCTCTCCTTCCCCTTCTGCAGGGCTGCTGTGGCTGATGTGACTGTGGTCAACAGAATTCATTTAAATTTTTAACTTTATTTTAGACAAAGCATGAGTGGGCGAGAAGGGCAGGGGGTAGAGGCAAAAGAGAGAGAGAGAGAGAGAGAGAGAGAGAGAATCTTAAGCAGGCTCCACACTCAGCACGGAGCCCGACATGGGGCTCGATCCCACAACCTTGGGATCATGACCTGAGTCAAAATCCAAAGTCAGATGCTCCACCGACTGGGACACCCAGGGGACCCTCAACAGAATTTCTGAATCAGGAGACCTATGAGTTCTGTTTAGAAAATCCGTCCAACAAGCTCTGGTTGGAAAACCCATCTGCAAGTACGAAGTCCTATTGTATTATTTCAGGAAATGAACCACACAGCGATAGACAGCGGTAAGAAGCAGATTACCTTAGCTCTCTGGTTCTGGAACCACACCTGGACGACACGGACGCTCAGCCCTGTCTCTGCGGCCAGGGTCTCCCTCACCTTGAACATCAGAAATACAGAAACATTGGCATCTCAGAGGAGGGGCTGAACATTCCCTACACGGTGCATAGGGAGGCCGGCCGGCTGCATCCTAGATGGTTGCCGGCTAGTGTTTAAGGTCCAGCCTGATCCCAAACGCAAGACCATTGCTTCCCTTCAAGTGGAGAGAGGTCCTTCACCAGGGAAAGAGAGGAATAAATAATTTAGATGTGCATTCCAAGAGGCATTTCTCAGTTTCTCTTACTCTGGAAATCAGGCCTTCGGACAGTTCTGGAACATTAGCAAAGTTCCATGTGGACTAACCTACTTAAGAAGGATGGAGGGTGAGAATCACTTTATGTAACAAATGGCTCTCTCTTGTTCTCCTCCAACGGAATTCACCGACCTGAACGTCTGGTTTGGTCTCTCATAGCTCTAGGGGGGTTTGGGCGTTTCATGGCCATTCATACTCCCATACCCTGAGTGAGTCAAGAGCCTTCTGGAATCTGGCAGAGCGAAGCAGTCAGCTCTGGCACAGCACATGCGCCATGGCCTCGCAGAAACAGGACAGTCAGGGTCCCTCTAATGACGATACGGGTTTAAAAGCCGCCCTCCGTGCAGGCACGTGGTGAGGTGCGGGCCAGGAGGGAAGAGGCCAAGAGCACAGCCTTCCCAAGAAGGAGTCCGAGAGGCGCTGCCCTGTGGCTTACGTCCTGGGGCGGAGACGGGACTGAAGGCACAGCCGTGAGCACAGCTCTCTGGGGGCCTTGGGAAGGACTCCCCCTTTCATCACACCACTTGGGCCGAGGCTTAGGAGAAGGGAGATGATGAGACCAGATCTTTAAAGCACATCCTTTTGCTAAGCCAACTAAGAGAGCAGTGGGCCCCAGACCCACCTCCACCTGCTGAAACCCCATCCGTGTTTCAGAGGCCCGGCTCAAAAAGCCACCTGCTCCACAAAGCCTTGCCTGATTCCCCAGACAGGAGAGACCTTTCCCTTACCCGGGCTCCCACGGCTCCCGGCTGCCCCTCCAGTATGGTCCTCACCGCTTCCTCCCCGGTGTTAGTTATGTGCACATGCGTCTCCTCCCCGCCGGCGGCCTACAGCCTGCCCCGGGGACAAGCACTGGGCACAGGGCCATACAGAGGCTGGGAGTCTAGTACATGGAGGATAAGTAATAAACGAGGGAGGTGATCATTTGTCCTCGGGCAAGCCTACTTTGGGGCTATTTCACTTCCTGCCAGCACCACCCCTGAAGCCCAAGGAGCCACAAGGACACAGAAGGAAAGAGGTCTGCAGGGACACTTGTCAGAGGTCACATATCATGGCAGACGATATTACTGTTTCGCAAAGAGCCACCCTCCCTCCGCTGCTCCAATTGGTGGGCCTTCCCCACGCCTCACACGGAGTTAGCCACGTGACTTGCTTTGACTTGCTTTGGGATGTACGAGGAAGTGGCACGTGTGATCCAAGGGGGTGGGCTTGCCTGGTGGGACGTGGCTCCCGCCATCCTCATGAGAACAGTCTGGTCCCTCAGGCTGGAGCCCCAGAGAGACAGGTGGAGAAGGCCTGACCCTGAGCCCAGCTGGGCCACAGCCAAGCCACCGGCCCGGGGCAGGAAAGCCAGGTCTGCAGGAGCCACTGAGACTTTGTTTGTTATTACAGCAAAAGCTGACTAAGAGGGACACAGGAGAAACAGTGCTAAATTTTCGAAAAATGTATTTCCTCCACGAATTTCAGCAAAACAGTTTTCCTATCTGTACTGCGTAAGTAACATCACTGAGCATACAGCAGGCAGTCATTAAATGGCGGGTGCTTAATAAATGGGTGTGGCTCTTTGTGGGAGAGACTGCTTATTGTCTCCAATATCCAATCCCCCCTCCCTCCTATTAGCAGGTGGATCCCAAGCTGTGGCAGGGCACATGGTCACCCAGATAGACTCATCTCCCAGCCCCACTTGCGGGAGGCGCTGCCACGGATGAGAGAAAGTGATACAGAGAATCTCGGGGCACGCCCTCAGTAGGCAAATGCTTGCCCTCCACACCCTCCTTCTCCACCATGGTGGCTGGAAACGATGGTGACAGCTAACGCGGCCCCTTGGAACCAATGACGGATAATACAGCTCCCTGCCAGTCTCAGATTGCTCACCTCTGGACTGTGACCGAAGATGGAAGTGAACTCCCACTTCCTTAGACCACAGATGTTCATGGCAGCCCCATCTGTAACGGCCCCAAACTGGAAACAACTCAAACATCCATCAACAGATGACCGGACAAACCAACTGTGGTCCGTCCAGCCACGCGGTGGGATACCGTTCAGCAGCGAAAATGAACGAACTGAGACGTGGATGAATCCCCAAACCACCACTCCGAGTGGAACATACTAGACCAAAAATAGGTAAATAAATACATTCCACAAACCACTGTGTTTTTACTGCCTTTGTTATAGCCTCTGGGTCTATACCCCCAACAGGTACCTGTTCCTATTCTTCCTGCTGCTCTCCATGTATTGAGCAAGCAGCCAAGCGAAATGGGTACACGTGCACACAAGTACAGGGAGATTCCATCATGGCCCTGGCCACAGCATCAGGGATCTAGAATCTCCAGGAGGGCCACAGGCTACCTGCACAGGCTCGATCTGAACCGCCTCCCCCACCGCCCTGACCCCCAAGTGCACCCATCAACACCCCAGAGGAGTGAAGGGTACACACAGACCAGGGGGGCCCGGCCCCCTTTCCTCCCTTCTTCCCGCCCCCCCACCCCCACCCCCACCCCCGTACCTTCCTGCACGGCTTGGAGGAAACTTCAAATGAGGCTTTGAATGCTCTCCTCTGTTGGGTGGTCAAGATGGTTCTAGGACGTTTGGGGCGCTTATGGTCCTTGCCGTCTTCAGCGGCTCCTTTCCCTGCGCCATGGACTGACTTGCAGAGACTTTCTTCATCATCACTTTTGCCTAAAAGCAGCAGAGAACAATGTGTTAAGTTCTTCGAGGCCGCTTCCTGGAGCTGTATGTTATTCTATAACAAGGCGCTTGGGTCCACGTTCCCAGGATGGCTTTATATGTGAGTGCAATAACCTGCGTGGGGTTGACTCGAAAGGAAGGGGCTAAGGAAAATACTTCCAAAATCCAAAGACAGAAACCACCAAGTCCACCATTTCAGCTCAGAACTTTCTCCCGGAATGGTTGGCCTAGCTCCACACTTCCTAACTGTGCGACTTTGGGCAAGTTACTTAACACTCTCTGACTCAGTTTCCTTATCTACAAAATTGGGGTTGAAGAGAACCTACCGCATCGGGGTTGGAAGGTCTAAATGGGGTCACCCACAAAACACGCAAAATGCTACTTGGGGGCACCTGGCTGGCTCACTCAGTAGAGCCTGTGACTCTTAATCTCAGGGTTGTGAGTTTGAGCCCCATGTTGGGCATGGAGGCTACTTTAAAAAAAAAATACTGCTTGGCATATAATAAATGTCCAATAAGCACTGGCTATTATTTCTTAGATGTCTTTTTTTTTTTCAGTCCAGACCTGGAGAAATTTTGGATAACTTCCTGGACACTGTGTCTGAAATTCGAGCCACTTTCAGGAGTCAGAAAATACTACTGTTCCAAAGGCCATAAGAGGACCAGCGTTCGATTACCTGCGGAATGCACACAACACGGGTAGTTAGAACTGCTCCAGTATAGAATAAGTGACTACCAAAGGAACTGTTTATATTTATGTGGCTTCCTTGATGAGCAGTGACCAATACAAAGAGAACTTCGGAAGCAAGTAAAGCCTTCAGCGCGTGTCACATTCTCTCCCAGGCTACCTCCTGCAGCCCACAGACCTCACACTCCAGAGAAGATGCTTCAGGGTCCGGGAAGTCCCCGTGTGAAGGAGGCATTTTCCTTCTTTCAGCATTAAAAGCCACTGGCAGTTATGTGCTCACATCACGCAAACAAGAACCTCGTTTCTGTCCGGGTCCTCACACCGCTCAGCTGTCTCCTTTCCTCCAGCGGACAGCCTTGTCCCAAGGGCTCCGGTCTCCTGACGCTGCTCCCCTTCGGGACCACCCCCCCCCCGCCCCGCCCTGTGTGGGAGCTGCACATGCTTGTTCATCCCACCCTCCTCCGTAAAGGGTACTCATCTGCACGTGCCATCCCGGTTTCGACTTTTGTGGAATGTTCCAGGACAACGGCCTTTTCCGTCTACGAACATTTAAGCGTACACTTGGAACATGAAGGAGCATTAAGCTTTGAGCGCCTTGAGGGCATGGCCCTTTCAATGTCATTGCACGGGTCTGATGTAGGCACACCTGGGGCTCCATCCAGCTCGGCCCCCCGGTGTAAGCACACGGCGCTATGGGAGTGCCATCACGCGCTGTGCCTCGGTTTCCCCACCTGCACCCCTGCAGCGATAGCGCCCAGCCGTGGGCGACTCAGGGGCAGTGCTGCTGTGGGCAAAGCAACTAACACGGTCCTGGTGCATAGGAAGCTCGACATTGAGTGGAAGGAACGCCCTTTCCTTTCTGCCTCACTCCCCTGGAGAGTACAGGGGAAAGGCCCAGAAAGACTGAAGAAGAAGAAGAAACCGCATGACAAGGAGTGGCTACTCTGGCATCTTCCCCTCGGAGGTGGCTCTTCCCAAGGCAAATCCAGTCAGGGACCTCAGCCATCCCTCCATAGCAAGGGGTTTGAGGATCTTTCGAGAAGGAGATTTTCAGAATGGCAAGGAAAAACCAAGCACAGAAGAACTAAAAGCCACAGGCAAATAAAAAGACCCCACAAGAAGAGAGACCATAGGAAAAAAAGAAGCCGCCGACTCCCCACCTTCACCCTTGATGGACCCAACATCCACTGCTCGGAGACCCCGCAGAGGCCAGTTCCTTCCACGAAGCCAATAATTCTGTCTGCTGGTGGATTCCTCAGGGTCAAGAGGGTGCTCCTCTGGTAACAGGGAGGACTTCAGTGAGTTTTCTTTGCAAATGGGCCGACACCCCCACCCCCATCCCCACCCCCAGGATCATACAGATCTCCTCTAAGTCCAGGGACTAAAAGGGGTTAAGTCTGGAACAAACGACTGGCAGATCCAGAGTGCGATTGTACAATTCACTACATAGTACACCGGAAACTCCTAGAACACTGTACGTTAACTATACTGGAATCAAAAATAAAAGCTTAATTTTTTAAAAAAAGGGAGTTGGAAAATATAAACCATTTTATCCCAGATTTAAAAAAACATCAAATCCAATTTTATAATTTAGAAACCTCCCATCTTATTCCAGTTTTGTCCATAAAGCGGTATTTGCAAACGTCTTCTGGAGCCAGGCTGATTCTCCTGAAGCCATTCCTCACGCAGCCTGACGCAAATGTTTGTTGATAACTTGGAAAACATAACTACTGAACGTGTAAAGTCTAAAGTCATGCTAGATTCCTTGATGATGGCTCATCTCCGTGGCCATCATTTGGGAAAGCAATGCGGTATAGATAACACATGGGCTCGAGAGTCCCAAAACTCAGGCTTAAACTTGGGTTCTACCAGTTAGGATGTGTGATTTGGCCCAAATTTCTCAAGGCTCCATTTTCTCATCAGGGGAAGTGACAGCATCCCTGGAGTTCCATGAGATGATACGTGTGTAAAAGGTTTAGCGTGGTGTAGAAGGTAACAGGTGCTTGGTAAATCATCATCACCATCATCATGACCACTACTCCAACATAAGAGAAGTATTCTTGATCGAGACGCATGTTTTCTGTTAATAATAGCTGCCTGTTTTCGGGAGTCTGAGTTAAGGGTTTACGAAGCCAGCGTTCACTTCTCTCTTGGCAGACGTGACCCCAGCCAATGCTGCGAGTCGGGTTTTGCAGAATGTGAGTGTGTCCTTGCGAGAAGGAAGGTGAAGGGAGGGAGAGGGATTGGGCTGGTTCCAGAAGGAAGACGTTAACCGCTGAGGTTTGTTCGGAGCCCCAGAGGCAGGGTGACGGAGGCACCACCCCCCCCCCCACCCCGGCCCCGTGTCGCTGAATCTGTATGTCTGCTTGTCTGGGATACGGGCACCTTCCCCAGGAGCGCTATTCTATCCTGAACAATGGGGAGGGGGGAACAGAACTACCTCCCAGGATAACCCCGGCTGCCCACTTCTGGAGGATGTGGAGAGCACCGATGCTCTCATTCATCCTCCCCACACCCCTATAAAGGAGAGACGAAAACATCTGTTTTCAGAAGAGGAAGGAGAGGGGGGCCGGGGGTGAGGGAGGAAGGGCAGGAGGGGGAGGACAGAAAGGAGATTAAGATTTGTCTCCGGGGTTTCTATTGCTTTTGTGGGTACACTTTCTCCCTATTTTATTCCTCCTTTCTGCTACTAATTTCTCTCTCTCTCTCTCTCTCTCTCTGTTCCCTCAGGTCCCACATTTTGCCTTCCAAGAGCCCTTCATGCTCTAGGCCAGGGGCCTACAAACTTTTTTTTTTTTTTTTTTTTTTTTTTTTTTGGTAAAAGACCAGAGAGTAAGTATTTTACTCTTCAAAAGCCTTAAAGTCTCTACTGCAATGACTCAACCTTGGTAGTGCCATGGTAGTGCAAAAGCCACACTACAACAGGTGTGGCTGTGTTCCAATAAAACAGTATTCCAAAAAACAGGCACTAGGCCAGATTAGGCCTGCATGCCACAGTTTGCTGGCCCCTCGTCCAGACCTCTCTTGACCTCCTCCTATTTTCCATCAAAACTGACATATCCTACGTCCCAGTCTTTCGGGTTCTGACTCTGGGGACAGGAAGCACTCAGGTGACACGGAGGAGTCCATGATTAGCAGAGCTTGATGTGTTTGTTCTCTCCCACCGTCAAAAACGTAGATGCACTGAACACAAAATGCCTCCAACCAAACAGTCACCGCTGTGGAATTTCAGGTGTCCTGGCAGATCCGAGCGAGGGAGATTATGAAGACCGAGCACGGAGAGGCCTTTTGGCACCTCTCAAAGTGCCGACAGGTGCTGCGACCCAGCTGCCAAGGGGAACTCAGGCCATCGCTAACCACCTCCTTGCTTTTATCTGCTGTGTTGTAAATATTGCGGGCATAACGGTGCCCTCTAACTGTCTTGGGGAATTTCCAGGCTGTTCCTGGGATGTTCACGGAGGCTCCCTGCCTCCTCCTGCAGCAAGGCCAGGCCTGTCTGACCCTGACCCCAAGTTCTCCATAAAAATACACTGGGGCACCTAGGTGGCTCAGTCGGTTAAGCGTCTGACTTCGGCTCAGGTCATGATCTCATGGTCT